AACAGTATTATTCAAAGAACTGGCAGAAATAAGTTGTGTCACTTCCTCATCAAACCTCATCAGTGCCAGATCCAAAGAATGAACATGGTTAATTCAACCCACAAACACTTATTAAGCATCTCTAAATGCCAAGCACTAAATGAGAGACTGAAAATAAAATAGGAAAACAGTCTCAATTCTTACCTTATTTAAAGAGGACACACAAAAAAACAAACACAACAGCTTTTTTTAGAATTAAATTCTATAAAGCATGACAAAGGTGGTGGTTGTTATAAATCTGCATTTATATGATGCTCATGGCTATTCCTCAGTCAACTCTGCCATATCTTATAACATATCACCACTTCAGTGGTGCATATCAGGTGCTACCATGTTTTTTTATGCAAATCCAAATTGATTACATTTTCAGCCTGCTCCGAGTATTTATGGGGTGTTTCTTATTACAGTTGAGAAATCCAAGAACTTCTCTTTATTTTATGATATCCTCTGATAGTTTTCATAGCCAACGGTTACCCCTTCCCTTTAAATAAAAGAGATGAGGAAATAGTAGCATCATTCCTCAAGTACAATGAGCTTCTGGTTGTTTCTATTTCAATTATTTTACTTTGAATTTGAGTAGTTCTGTATAAATCAATTCTAGAATTCATGGGCTGAAATATGTCTTCCCTCTTGTGTTTCACTCTTATTGTCATTAACTGCACAAAGCTTCCTTTCTTCACAGATGAAACAGATTTATAGAAGTAACTATTTTCTAATACATAAAACATTTTGAAATATAAATTTCAGCTGCAAGCTATTTTCATTCATCTTCTTTCAGGGGGCAAAGTAAAATATACAAAGATAAAATTGATTCAGACTCCAAATCTGGAACATACTGTGCGTCCTTCCTGTTTTCTGAATTGTTAAGAGCAATGTTCCAATTACAAATTCCTCGTATAATAAATAACTTCTAAAGAGTGAGTTATGTTGGCAAAAGGCTGATGCAAGTAACAGAATGCCACATTCTGTGTAACACTACACCTCAACCACCAAAAATCTGAACACTGAGTCATTAACTCATGCATATATACATCAATTTCATTCCTCTAACAAGTATCTAATGGAATATCTCTCCTGTGCTGCAGACTGAAGATCAAGTTAACACACAAAACAGCCCTTGTCTCTAACTTCATTGAACTTAAAACTATGAGATAAAATTACTATATATTTTAAACAATTTGATACACTACAAGTTTTCAATAGATTCTATGAGAAATTTTAACTTGAAAAGTTGTTTACATAGTTTTAAGACAACAAAGCACTGAATTCACCACTACCTTCTGCTTGGGAGGAAAAATATGAAAGCATTATTATTGACCACAGAATATAATTAATATCTATTTATTCATTTTTCCCCTATGATTTCATTCTAGGTCTACTTCTTTCAAAAGGCAAAGAGATCTTCTGTTTGCTATAAAGGTTACAACTTACTAAAAATTATAAAACTACATAAACCTGCAATTATGTATGTTTGTTTTAGATTTGAAAGTTAAGAGAGAGGAGCAGAAAATGTCAGATCATCTATCTGCTGGTTCACTCCCCAAAGGGCTGCAACAGCCAAAGTTAGGCTGTAGTGAGCCAGGTGCCTCTTCCAGGTCTTCCACATGGATGCAGGGGCCCAAGGACTTTCTTTCCCAGACACATCTGCAGGGAGGCAGAGCAGCTACACCCATGTGGCAAGTGAATTGGTGCCCATATAGGATGCCAGCACTGCAGAGAACAGTTTTAACCATTATACCACAGCACTAGCCCCAGAAAATTGTTAAACTATTTGGTTTTGAGCAATGTGTCCGTTTATATTTAAAGATGCATATTATATTGGTTGTAGAAGACTGAATTCAATTACAACTTTTGTGATAATCAACCTCTTAATTCAATCACAAATCTTGTGATCACTAATCATTTAGATCTTAATGGTCTTGTACCAAAAAAAAAAATTAATGTTTCAAAAACTGATAGAGTGGCAACACATGTTTTTATCTAAGTATTTTTTTAAATAAGATAAATAAATGAGTTTTAAAAAGAAAAGGGGGTCAGCATTGCAATGTAATGACTGATGTCCCTGCCTGTTCTAGTCCTGAAGGATGCTCCTCTTCCAATCTAGCTCCCTGCTAACAAACTAGGAAAGCAGTGGGAGATGGCACAAGTTCCTGGACCCCTGTCATCCACATAAGAGACTTGAAAGAGGCCCCTGCTAGGGTAGCACTGTATCCAAGGGGCCACCTGTGATGCTGACATTCACATGAGTACATTTTCAGCCCCTGAAGCTCCAGGTTTGACCCAGCTCCCTAACAATACACCTCACAAAGCAAAAGAAGATAGCCAAAATGTTAAGGCCCCTGCACCCATCTGGGAAAACCAGAGGAAGCTCTAGGCTCCTGGCTTCAGCCTTGACAAGCCCTGGTCATCACAGCCATTTGGAGAGTGAACCGATGCAGAGATCTTTTTGTCTTTTCTCTCCTTCCCACCTCCTCTCTCTCTGTAACTCCATCTTTAAAAACCAAAACACTACACCAAATGCCTGTCCAAACAATGGAACTTAAGCAGGTTATCTGGCACTGTGGAGGCACTCTTGGGACTGACACTGTGGTATCACATGGAAACCCATCACCTGTGACCCCAGCATTGCATGTAGGCACCATTTCTAGTCTTGGCCACTCTGCTTCCCATCCAACTCCCTATTATTGTGCCTGGGAAAGCAGCAAAAGGTGGCCTTTTCTTTGTGCTCCTGCATATACACAGGGGGCCTGGAAGAATCTCCTGGCTCCAATCTTCAGACCTGCATGGTCCTGACTGTTGCGCTGTAGCCATTTGGGGAATAAAACAGCAAATGAAAGATAACTCTTTCTCCCCCTCTCTCTCTGTAACTCCGTCTTTAAAATAAACAAATAAACCTTAAAAAAAAAAAAGAAAAAGAAAAAAACTAGGCAACCTATTTACAAATAAATTATTCTGCCAAACTCCTCCACATGTAGATTCTAGTAAAAAAAAAAAAATTCAAATCCAAAAAAATAATAAAGATCATGCTGACAATCATGCAAGCCTATAGGCTAGTCATTCAACAGTTTCAGGACAGAGCACAAAAAGCAATTATCTATTTAGAATAGCTATCAATCTTAGAAATGCAAAAAAAATATATAAAATAACAGAAGACAAAAGCTGGAAAATGCAAGGGCTAATTATCTAATTATCTTCATATTCAAAAGTAAAGAGCCAGATAACATTATCTTTGCTAATGGGAAACCAAATAAAAGTGAACTCAGTATTCATCATTATTACAGAGAGATTATCCTTAAGTAATAAGAGAGCTGTGTGCCAGACATTTATTCACAACTTTTAGGAGCAGTTCATTTAAAGATTCCTTTTAAAAAATAAGCACATTTTAAACTACAGGGTAATCAACATAGGAACCAATAATGGTGATATCACTGCATTAAAGAGGAAGAGCAGCAGGAGATAAGAGGTATAGTGAAAACTGGTTGAAGGTTCATGTATTAGAGCAGGAAGTCCAAAGATAATGTCTAAAGTTGCTAAATGAAGAAACAGAGGCAAAAAAAGTACATTATTCAGCGATCATCCTCAGAAGAACTAAATTAAATAGTCTTCAAATTTTAACTGGTTCCTTCAAAGATCAGGCCTGGGACAGGAAAGAAATAAAACAGACTCTTCCTTTCATTTAAAAAAAAAAATATCAGTACTATTTCTCTTTCAATCATTTACATGATTAACATTGATCATTTTTTTTCAATTTAATTTTTTTGAAAAAAAAAGTAGCTATTTAATATGTTTTGCTACTTCAGGCAGGTAAAAAAAACTCTTTTGTATTCTAACGTTTTCAGGAGAACAGTCTAATAATGGAAGGTTAATAAGTCAGCATTCCTAAATTTGTCATTTAATGTTGCATTTAGAAAATTAACATGAAGTGATTCTGTAGGAGGCCAAGATGTGGTCCCTCTTGGCCACATATGGTCATAATCCAAAAAAGTCTCTTCTTTAATACCCATGTTCTTTGTTTCCCCTTTTAAGGACACAGAAACGTTGACACCTTATTCCCCACAGTACAGATTCACACGAGAAAAGATCCCTAGTGAGTTTAGTTATACTAACCAGCCAAACCTACTGTCATTTCCACAGGTACAGCTTCAGTGCCGCTAACAGTGGCAGGCAAAGGCTGAAAATGGTGGCTCTACCCAGTGGGAGATGGAGCCTACTATAGCCATGAGGTACTCACCCAAGGTCCAGGTGCTCCAGTCAATCCTGAGTCATTTGGGTCAGCCTACATAACCTAGCCTCCATCATGCATTTAATTTTGAAAATGTAGTCAGCATAAAAACTGAATTTATATAAAAAGGCAGATATCTACTCTCTGTTAATAATTAATTTAAAAAGCAGTTCTCATAACATAGGATGTCCCATTTGCCTTAGGTAGCCTGCTCCTCTATCTTACATTTTGTCCCACGTAAGCCATGTGCATGTCTAACCCTTTCCAGGAGACAACATACTGACATTCCCTCTCCTTAACTCATGCCGGGTGTCTCTGAGGAACCTCAGTGGCAATGGTTCTTAGCAGTAATGGTTCCAGAAGGGAAAGAGCAATAATGGGGGCAGCAGTTATGCTGGCTACCTAAAAAATTTCTAACCAGTAGGTATTTCAATGCAATGGATGCCCTTCATTGGGGTTTTGCACAAGAACTGCCTATGGTCAAAGTAAATACAAGAATTATCATGCATGCCTAAAAAATTCAGCATCTCTATGCATGCCTATTTCACTGGACGTTGCTCCATGCCAACTGCCTTCGCTTTAATAGAACTAACAGTGATGAAGAAATAAGAAAAAATGGTAAACACTCGAGATAAATATCTTGAGATAACATCTAACAGCCAGAAATAAAAACCAAAGTGTAAAGCTAAAACTAACATGGTAATTTGTATTTTGAGAAAAATAGTCCTCATTTACTTACATTTTAATGTCTCTCCAGCATAAGGTATATGCAGTTTAAATCGATCACAGTTGGGGCCAGGAGTCAGTGATGTGCAGCTTTAAAAGAGAGAGAAAAGATTACTAAAAAATAAGTAAATAAATAAAATTTAAAAACCCAATATAAACTAGTCTCTATGGATCAGTGATAAAAAAAAATAGTAATAATAATAGATTAATAAAATAAAAACAGGCTTACAAAGCAAAATGTAAACCCTTAGTGGTCATGGGGACCAAGACAGTAAGATTCCCTCTCAAATAAATATTTAATTTTCCTCGGAGTAAAGCTCAAATGCCTTCTGAAAACACACATCAACACTCCTTCAATTACTTCTCTCAAGAACATGTATTTTAGAGCGATCCAGTTAAGCTGCCAGCTGGATACCTACATCCCCAATGGGGTGCTCTGGCTCCTGACTTGACCCAAACTCCCTGCCAAAGCAGAATCTGAGGGCAGTGATAGGGGTTCAAAGTGTTGGGGTCCAAACACTCAGGTGGGAATCTGAATAAGTTCTAGCTCACAGCGTAAGGACCATCTGTTGTGGGTATGGAAGGAGTCAATGGATACAAGGTCTCTCTCTGATAAATATTTAAAATGTTATATACATATGACTTTTGTTTTTTCACATTATTTTAATTGACATATTAAAATGACACCTATTTATGGGATATCATGTAATGTTTCAATATATGTATACACTGTGCAATGCATCAATCAGGTCAAGCATAAGAATCTTTAAGCAGGTGATGGAAAATATACACTATGAAAAGGCCATGTACAAATTTCAAACATATTTTACACTAAAATTCATTTGTCTCTTAACTTCAGTTTTCCACAAACTTTTAAAAGTACCCCAATTATCTACCTCCTCAAATATTTAGCATTTCTTTAAGGTGAAAACATTCAAAATCCTATATTCCAGCTTTCTGGAATTATATATTGGCATGATTTATTACCATGATGAAATCACCCTATTGTACAACAGTACATCAGAATCCATCTCTCCTATTTAACTCTTAGTAGCTATTGACCAGTTCCTCCCCATCTTGTCCCTCCTGTCTACTTTCCCCAGCTTCTAATTACTACAATTCTATTTTCAACTTCTTCGAGTATTTCTCAACTTTGATAACTAGGTATATAACATCTAAAACAGGTTTCTAGTATAAGATGCCAAGAATCATAGAAGAAGAGTAATTTTATGGTCATATGTTAAACATAAATTCTTATCTTTCATTCTGTTAGTACAAAAAACAGCCCACTTTTGGCCTTTCTTTGGTACCAGATGGTTTTCTTTCTATCCACAAAGGTACGGTGCTTCCTCTACATTTGGCACCCCTAACTTTCATTTGCAGGAAAGAACAATGCTCTGTGCTCAGTTTCAGATAAGATGCAAATTGAAAAGGAAAGGGAGACCGTTAATCACACGGGCCTCAACATCTTGTATGTCTTTTTAATCTAGTACCTCACAAAGTTACACAATGTCCTTTTTCACACATATCTGCAATATATTTTATGATCTTACTAGTTGTAATTTCAACTGTGTATTGCCACTATTGACCTCAGAACTGAATAAAATACTAACATGAAGTCAGCTGAGGAAGTTACATGTCTTTATCTAGTTTTGAAATGAAGCTTGTAATTTATAAAGTATAGCAAGGAAGCTATTTTATTCCCTAAATCCGAAACCGCTTTGAAGCAATTCTACAGAACCACTTGCCAAAGTAGTTTGGTAGATGGAAGCAGAACTGCAAGAAATGCACAACTTCCCAGATGTATTTAGCATAAACCACTAGGTTCGTTATTTCTCTTTATCATCAGAAGCCAATAAAAAATACTAGTATATGAACTAAACAACAAATTTGTACTGCCAATTGAATACTAAATTATTTTAATTTTTCATAGATTTTAAGAATATATTTTCTTCTTCCGTTCAACATAATAAACTTCTGGAGGTGCACTCTATACTAAGAGATATTTAAATATTGTCCTTACAATAAGGGTAGAATAACCCTTATTTGAAATGCCAGGACCACAGCTATTCCAGATTTTGAATATTTTCAAGATTTGGAATACTGATATGCACTTTAAGATCTCCTGGACTGGAGCCTGTTTAAACACAAAATCTATATCTATACTTCAAACCTGAAAATAAGTGCATATTATATGTTAGTAATAATAACAAAAATCAAATATAATATCTGGTAATTTTGTACATTTTGGCTGTGTGAGATAAGGTTGGAATTTTCTACTTGTGGCAAAATGTAAGCACTCAAAAAGATTCATATTGTGAGAATTTCAGATTCTAGCTTTTCAATTTAGGGATATTCAAACTGTGATATGAGTCTTCCTCATCCACAGCATACTAATTATTTTAAAAGGCTCATGGAAAATACACAAATGCTATCATTATAAAATATATAGTATAATCTAATGACAGTAATGACCCTTTGCAAAACAATCAGAATATTCAAACTGATGCTTTAAAACAATGAAAACTATCATTCGTAAACAAGTGCATTTTGAGCTTAAAGACTGAAGTTAATGGGGCTGAAACAGCGGCTCAGCTGGCTAATCCTCCACCTCCAGGCATCAGCAGCCTTTGTTGTCGCCAGTTCACGTCCCAGTTGCTCCACCTCCCACCCAGCTCCCTCCCTGCTTGTGTCATGGGAAAGCAGTAGAGGATAACCCAAAGGCTTGGGATGTAGCACCACATGGAAGACCCAGAAGGAGCTCCTGGCTCCTGGCTTTGGATGAGCTCAGCTCTGGTTGTTGTAGCCTTTGGGGAGAGAACCAGTAGAAGTAAGATCTTCCCCTCTCTCCTTCTCTCTGTAAATTTGCCTTTTCAATACAAATAAATATCCTTTAAAAAAAAAAAAAAGAAAGAAAGAAAAGACTGATTTAGCAGTAGTACCAAAAAATCTCAAGGATCTGACCTGATTCTAGTTTGTTTGAACTCCCACCTTTTCAATATGGTATTACTTTGTTTTGAAAAGGTTACATTCACTGGGCCTAACCTGATAACTCAATAGCTAAATCTTTGCCTTACATGCACCGGGATCCCATAGGGGGACCGGTTCGTGTCCTGGTTGCTCCACTTTTCATCCAACTCCCTGTTGATAGCCTGGAACGGCAGTAGAAGATGACCCAAGGCCTTAGGACCCTGTACCCGCATGGGAGACCTGGAACAAGCTCCTTCCTGGCTCTTGGCTTCAGATCGCCTCAGCATGCACTTGGGGAGTGAATCAGTAGACAGAAGAGCCTTCTGTCTCTCCTATCTATAAATCTACTTTTCCAATAAAAATAAATCAATCTTTAAAAAAAAAAAAAGAGTTAAAGGGCCTGGCGCAGTAACCTAATGGCTAAAGTCCTTGCCTTGCACACACCGGGACCCCTTCCAGGTGCAGGTTTATATCCTGGTTACTCCACTTCCCATCCAGCTCCTTGCTGGTGGCCTGGAAAAGCAGTAGAGGATGGCCCAAAGCTTTGGGACCCAGCACCCACATGGGAGACCCAAAAGAAGCTCTTGGTCCTGGATTTAGATCAGCTCAGCTCCAGCTGTTGCAGCCACTTTGGGGAATGAACCAGCGGATGGAAGATCTTTGTCTTCTCTCTCTGTACATGTCCTTCCAATAAAAATAAATAAATCTTTTTGTAAAAGGTTACATTCACTATTGGTCACGAGTCTTATTATGTATTATGCATTGCATATGATGAATGTATCAGTTTCACCAGGTCTGGGAAAATGCTTTTTGTGCACCTTCCTCCCTTATCACTTCAGTGGTCAGTTCTAAAAACCCAGGTATTAAAAGCATATTTCTCCAGCCAGTTTTCTGAGCACTGGTTTTTCGTTTTTTGTTTTATTTTGCTTTGGTTTTTGTTTTGCTTTTTATTTTAAAATATATTAGGTACTGTTCACAATGATAGGAATGCAAGGAGGACAATACAGACAGAATCTGTAGATCTCAAGATGCTTAAACTCTACAGAAGAGGCAATAAGCAGGCAAATATATAAAGCCAGTTTGTACCTGCTAACTTCCATGAGGACAATAGACAGGGTGCTGCAGTCACTGAGGAGCTATTTCACTTTGGCAGATCAAGGAGACCTGTGGAGGAAGTGAAATCCTGAACCTGAATAACAAGAAGGGGCCAACCTTGCAAAGTTCTGAGAAAGAGCATCCCAGGCAGAGGAAACAGCTGGTGCAAAGGCGTCTAAGCAGAAACAAGCCTGATATATCTGGGGAAGAAATTCTGATATATCTGGGCAGTGCAGCTGGGGAAGAAGGAAGAAGAAAGAGAACATAGCAAGAGATTGGACAAGGAATAAGCAAAGGACACATCATCTGAAGGCCTGGTAGGTGGTGGCAATTAATTCAGCTTTGATGCCAAGCACAAAAACAAGAGTTTCAAGCAGAAGAGTAATATTTTATTCTATATTTTTTAAAGATCACTGGATCTACTGTAGCAAGAATGACAGTGCAAGAGGCAAGGTGGAAAGAGTGAGACCTAAGTGGAGAGCTTGGCAGGCTAGATAACAGATCCTGGGACTAGGGATTTAACAGTGGGGAATACGCTGAAGGATTTAACAAATAGGACTACCAGGAGAGAAGTAAATTTAGATAGATGGGAAATGAAAAGTGTGATATTTGAGATAACAGTCAGATCTTCTATAAAAACAAAGCTAGGTTACTAGGCAGGCTAGTCAGCCATTAAGGCCACTAAAAAGAAGAAAAAATCACCAAAATTCACCTTAGGCAGAATGCTGAGTGATGCTGAAAAGGGTCACCCAGTCTTTCCTAAAACTTTGTTTTTTTATTTATTTGAAAGGCATGACAAGAGAAAGAGTTCTTGCACCTGCTGGTTCACTCCCCAAATGCCTACAACAGCTAGAGCTAGCCCAGGCCAAAGCCAAGAGCCAGGAACTCCATCAGGGTCTCCCACAAGGTGGCAGAGACCCAAGTTCTTGAGCATCTGCCTGCTGCCTTCCAAGATCATTAATAGGAAGCCTGATGGGAAGCAGAATAACTGGGACTCTAAAATGAGATGCAGGCATCCCCAACAG